CCCATTCCCCCAAAATTAAGCCACCCTTTTATGATAAAAGTATTGGAGAGATGTGGGATACAAGGTGCATACATAAACACAATAAAGGCAGTATACAGCAAGCCAATAGCCAGTATCAAATTCAATAGAGAGAAACTTAAAGCAATTCTACTGAAATCAGGGACAAGACAAGGCTGCACAGTCTCTCCACATCTCTTCATATAGTACCTAAAGTTCTAAATAGAGCAATAAGAAATGAAAAGAAGATCAACAGGATATAAATCGGAATAGAAGAAATCAAAGCATTGCTATTTGCTGATGATATAATAGCATACGTAAGTTACCTCAAAAATTCTACCATACAACTGATAAAAAATCAATTTAAAAAATCATTATCTCTCCTATATACAAATGAGAAATTGGGTGAGAAAAAATTAAGGAAACAACACCCTTCACAATAGATACGAATAATGTAAAACATCTCAATGTAACTCTAACCAAGCAAGTAAAAGATTTATATGGCAAAAACTTCAAGTCTTTCAATAAAGAAACAGAAGATATCAGAAGTTGGAAAGATCCAATGCTTATGGATCAATAGGAATAACATAATGAAAATGGCCATCCTGCCAAAAGCAATCTTTAGATTCAATGCAGTTCCCCTTAAAATTCCAACACAATTCCTACAGACCTTGAAAGAACAATACTCAGCTTCATATGGAAAAATTAAAAACCTAGGATAGCTAAAAAGATCTTGTACAATAAAAAATTCTGGAGGCATCACCACCCCTGATTTCAAGCTGTACCACACAGCAATAGTAATAAAAACCACATGGTATTGGCATAAAAACAGACACAATGATCAATTGAATCAATTCAGAAACATAGAAATAAACCCACACACCTATGGACACCTAATTTTCAACAAAGAAGCCAAAACCATACAATGGAAGAAAGACAGAATCTTCAACAAATGGTCCTGGTCTAACTGGATGTTTGCATGCAAATAGATCATTATCTATCACCCTGCACAAAACTCAAGTCAAAGTGGATCAAAGACCTCAAGATAAAAGCAGATACACTAAATCTGGTAGAAGAGAAAGTGGGGAGTAACCTTGAACTCATTGGCACAGGGGAGAACTTCCTGCATAGAATACCAACAACTCAAGCACTAAGAGCAACAGTAAATAAATGGGACCCCTTGAAACTGAAAAGCTTGTGTAAGGCAAAGGACACTGTCAAAAGGACAAAAGGACAAACTACAGAATGGGAAAAGATCTTATTCAACCTGATATCTGACAAAGGGCTAATATCCAAAATATATAAAGAACTCAAGAAACTGGATGCCAACAAAACAAAACAACAACAACAAAAACAATTTAAAACATATATAAACAGAGAATTCTCAACAGAAGAATCTCTAACAGCTGAAAAGCACTTAAAGAAATGTTCAACAGCCTTACTCATCAGCGAAATGCAAATCAAGATGACTATGAGATTCCACCTTATGCTCATCAGAATGGCCAAGGTAAAAAACTCAAGCAATAGCACATGCTGTCAAGGATGTGGAGCAAGAGTAACAGCTTTCATTGCTGCTGAGGGTGTGAACTTATACAACCACTGTAAATCAATTTGGCGGTTTCTCAGAAAATGGGAAATAATTGTACCTCAGGACCAGCTATACCAATACCAAAAGATACTGGGCATATACCAAAAGATACTCCACCATACCACAAGGACACTTGCTCAGCTATATATGTAACAGCTTTAATTGTAATAGCCAGAAACTGGAAACAACGTAGATGTTCCTCAATTGAAGAATTTATTAAAAAATAAAGTAGTGCATTTACACAATAGAATGTTACCCAGCTATTAAAAACAATGACATCATGAAAATTTCAGGCAAATGGATAGAAGTAGAAAAGATTATCCTAAGTGAGAAAGATAAACAAGAAAGATAAACATGATATTTACTCACTTATAAGTGGGAAATAGCCATAAACATGTTGCAATCCACAGACCCAGAAGTGCTAAGTAACACAGGAGTAGATAGATGGAGGGAACTGGGTGGGGGAAGGGGAAGGAACAGGAATAGGAGGGTCACGTGGGGAGAGAACAGTGGGTAAGAGTAGGAAGAAAGATAACTGGAATCAGTTGGGGGCGGGTATCTGGAACAAGCTAGAAACCTAGGACAATGGAAACTTCCAGGAATCTATGAGGGTGACCCTAGCTAAGACTCCTAGCACTGGAGGATGTGAATTGTGAAATGACCATCTCCTATAACTAGAAAAGATTTCCAATGGAGAGACTGAGACAGCAACCCATCTACAAAACCTTAGAACCACAATTTCTTCTGCCAACATGATGTGCAAGGGTAAAGATGGAACAGAAATTGAGGGAATGTCCAACCAATGACTAGCCAGGCTTGGGACCTGTGTATGAGAGAGAGCCCACCCCTCACACTATTAATGATATTCTGCTTTACTGCCAGACAGGTGCCTAGCACTCTGTCATCTGCGAGTCTTCATCTAGCAGATGAGAGAAAGAGATACATAGGCCCACAGCCAAACATTAAGTGGAATTTGGGGAATACTATGGAAGAGGAGGACAAAGGATTGAAGGAGCCAGAGAGGTCAAGGACACCACAGGAAAATATATAGAATCAACTCACCTGGGCCCATAGGAGCTTGCAGAGACTGAACCACTAGACAGAACATACTTGGGATGGACCTAGGCTTTCTTCACATACGTAAAAGATGTACAGTTTGGTCTTCATGTGGGATTCCTAACAGCAGGAGCAGGAGCTGTCTCTGACTCTGTTGCCTGCCTTGAGATCCCTTTCCCTTAACTAGAGTACCTTGCTTAGCCATAATAGGAGAAGATTGACTAGATACCTAGTCATACTACTACTTGATATTCTAAGGCAGGTTGATATCCATGGGAGGCATCCCTTTATCCGAACCTTTATCTGAGGAAAAAGGGATGATGGGAGGATGTTGGGGAGGTGAGGAGAGGAAGGGACTGGGAATAGAGGCAGGAGAAACTGCTATCAGGATGTAAAATAAATAAATTAATTAATAAAAGAAACACACACACACATACACTCACTCACTCTCTCTCTCTAAATATTTTTTCTTACCAAACTACAAAAATCTAGATGAGGAGAGCTACTCTGGAAACCACTCTTGTACTGTTTTAAAATGTGAAGCGATGAATCTAACTTTACCTATCAATTTCATATAGCCTTTCCATTCCAACTCTAGGTATAGACCCCAACCAAGTTAAAACAGGAGCAAAAACTGTGTGTGAGCATGCACATGTGTATTTGTGTGTGTGTGTGTGTGTGTGTGTGTGTGTGTGTGTGTGTATTCAACATGGGGATTTGTACAAGCAGAGCAAACACTCAAGCATTAAACTATACCCACAGTTTTTTTAAAAGAGTGTCTGTTCAACTATATTCACAGCACTTCTGTTTGGTAGTCAAGAGGTAGAAGAACAACATAAGTATCCTATGATGATAAATCAGTCTGGTATATACATTCAGTGGAATAGTATTCAGCATTTAAAGATAATGAATTCTAACACGTTATACTATCAGTACGATCTTCATAACTTCATGGAAAATTAAAACAGTCAGATACAAGAGGACAAATTGCATGATTACACTTAGATGAGGTTCCTAGAATAAGAAAATTTATAGAAACATAAAAGAGACCAGATGCTACTGGAAGATAAAAGAAGGATAAACACTAGTAGATCATGTATGAACTACCAGTGGCCATTTCCAAATTCTAGCTGTGATTTACTCAGGCTAATAAATACAGTTAAAGTGAGGACTCAACAGTGCTTGGAAGCCATTTCTCAAGTAGTTTAATCTCCTGCTGCCCTTTCTATATCTTCTGACACCATCTTACCTTGTTCTTACACAGACACAGAGTGACAATTTCCTGCTTAGAAAAAATTTTGGAGGGTTGTACTGCCTTACATTTTGTTAACTCGACACAAATTAAAGTCATCTGAGGCAATAGAATATCAATTGAGAAGATACTGTCCATGATACACCTGTAGGTAAGTCTATAGGGTATTTTTTTTGACTGATGGTTGATGTGGGTGTACCCAGATCACTATGGGCATTTTCATGTCTGGTAGGCAGTCCTGTGTAGTGTAAGAGAATATGCTAATGCAGACATGGAGAACAATCCAACAAGCAGGTTTCCTCCATGTTCTCTCCCTCAGAATCTATTCTAGGTTCCTGCCTGAATTCCTGCCCTGACTTCCCTTGGTGGGAGACTGTGACCTAGAAGTGTAAGCTAAATAAACCCTTTCCTCTCCCAAGCTGGTTTTGGTCAGTGTGGTTCAATACAGCAATGGGAAATAAATGAAGACAAGGGAGATACAAAAGTCATGGCCAGTGCTAAATAAGTGTACAACATCAAGGATGGTACTAAATAGTACATCCAAAATAGCCAAAGTAGGAAAATCTGTGATGTATATTCACTTAACACAAACAAAATAAGAGTATCATGAAAATTTCTTATCTAAACCAATATCACAGGATAAATAACAGTAAGACATCTTATTAAAACACATAATCATTTTAGTAGATAACTCAGTAACATTCTTGATCCTTCCTTGAAAACTTTTTAAATAACAAGATTCCACATCATTCTTTAGTTTCAGGCAATGGATGAAACTGACCTAATATTTAACAGTGCACACTTCCATTGTGAGCCAGAATTACCATGCTAGGGAAGTAACTACTGGTAATCCAGTTAGCCAGTCAATAACCTCACACACATGCACATGTAAGGAACACTAATTTAAAAAAAGACAGGAAAATAAGAAGGGAACATGTATAGAAGTTTAAGGAGGGCATGGGAAGGGCCATAAGAGAGGTCAAAACATGATCAAAATGCATTCTATACATGTACACAATTGTCAAAGAATAAATAAATCCTTTTCAAAAAGAATGAATCAAAACTGAAAGAACATTAGCCTCATTCTTTAGCGTCTTTTTAACCTACTTGATGAAATAGTCCCGTCCATCTCGGTTTGTCATCATCTCCCATCCATAGGGTGGTACCTGGTTCAAGCCCCAGGTTCCTGACGGAGGTGGCCAGCCTGAAGACTTGGTCCTGTGGCTGGAAAACAAAGAGATCATCATCACCTATGACTCTTGAGCATATCTTTTTTTTATCACTTAATCAAGGATGCATGTCTTATTCCTCTAAATTGTGAGCTGTGTGAATAACTGATCATATACCAGCTGTAATGAATGCCTTTGCATCAGATACCATGCTAGGCATTTTGTATGCAACAGAGCACTGATTTTCCACAGAATCCACATGAGGGAAGTATAATTACACACCATATGGACAGGAAGACAATGGGTCAGTAAAATTAAATAGCTTTGTTGTGGAAAGCTTTGATTGAAAGTTCCTTGTAGTTCTGACCACAAGAGACATATTTAGATATGCCAGATATTTATACATTTTGAGCACATCCATAGACTTCACAGTCATATAAAGACACAGGAAGATAAATTAATATTTTATGTTTTTAAGAAAAAAAAAACAAGTTGAAGTTTTCTGGATTCCTATTACCAAAATCTAAAATCTATACTCATAGTCTATATTACATGTCAAGCAATGTCTGTCATAAAAACATTAGAAAAACCCTCAGTGATAACTTGCAACAAATATCCACACATTATCTTTTCCAATTTCTAAGGCCCCGATGTCAATTTGTCTTTCAGTACAGTAAAAAACTCTAGCAAGTTTTCTATATATTTGTCTTTAAAAATCAAAAGGAGCAGGTCATAATTGCTTGTGACAAGCCATTGTGACAGGCAGCATTGCACAGTCACAGTCCCTAATTGGAGACCTGTAACCAGTTTCTAAAGTGATCACCAAATGCTGGCTTGCTTCATTCTTACCTTCCCATGAATGCCCAACACTTCTTCAGTCTTTACCCATGAAACTGGAAGGAAGAAATGCCGTTTTAGCCTTAGTCCATGTCACCTGTAATGTGGTTCCTTAGATCAAATAGTAGCTCATTTGATAGCCAGCTTCTAAGATCCTGCAGTGGCTCCAAATGTCAGATTGTCACCATCCAAAGTGAGCAGGGAAAGAGCAGTGATGATATTTGCAGGGACTCAGAGTCAGTGCCACAGCAATTACCAGAGAGCCATTTATACCAAGAAAGAAGCTCTGGTGCGATGAAAAAAGAGCAGCTTAGACAGTGAGTGCAGAGAGGGCATGGATTGCACCTGTCACCTGACATCCTGGCTCAGCCCTCTTCTACTGGATGCAACATACTTGGTGGCTCTCATGCAGCCTGTTGCCCTTCTACACTGAATATCTGAAGTAGCACCTCTTCTCAATGCCCTTGCCCTGCCACCACATCCATCCAACCAGTGACTCAACCAGTGTCAAGAGATGCAAGCCCATTTCCTGTAACTCCTCCACGGAAGAGGAAGATTTGCATAATTTAAAGCCCTTTCCATTGCTTTTCCTTAACTTCCTTTTTGTCTTGCTACCTCCTCCAATAAAGAATTCGGATCAAAACTGTTCATAAAATTAATAGGGGTCTGGTAAATTTAGAATGCCACTGTAGGAACCTTTCTTGCTCACGGACTACTAAAAGAAAAACCATGGTCACCTCTTTTGTTTCCCTGGCTTATGCAAATGTCAGCAGTGGCAATTTCCTCTGGGGGTTTTGAAGAAAACAAAAAAGTGCTATTTTCTCCAGGTGAGAGAACACATGACTTCTACCCTGAGGTACTGTTACAAACAAACAAACAAACAAAAAATCCCCAGTGTAGTTCCCTTATGCCAGCAGGGACCACATTTGGAAAGCTCTTTAAGATGGAACCAAGAAAAGAAGTTCTTACAGGTATGGATACAGTCTATTCTGTTGTTTAAAACTTTCCCCAAAAGCTGGAATATACGTAAAAGTAACACAAAGACTATTCTTGACTTTGGAAAGAAGCTTACATACAGAATGCTACATTATATCATGGAATTCTAAATTACACACTGTGTGCTTTTTAACCCTTTTCCTCAGAGAGACAAACACAAAATGTCTTTTTTTTTCCCTTGGTTTTCTACCCTGGCCCCTTTCCACATACACAACATGAAATACTAATCACCTAAGGAAAGGCACAGGATCCCTAATAAAATTGAAATGTCAAAAGCAGAATTCTAATGAGGAGCTGCAGGAAGGAAGCTTGGATTATATTTTATTTGCTGAATTGTATTATATACCACATTCTATCCTGGGTAGTATGTCCAAAGTGTAGCAAACAACCATTCAGCAAGATGTTTTCAAATAAAATCTCTGCCTAAAATGAAATGCCAGCACCAGTGACTGATGCTAGACCAGAAACTATCAGCAGAACAGAAACACCACACAAACTAACTGTGCTCCTCTAGGTAAGGGGCATCAAAATAAATGATGAACTAATTAAAATCAGACATAGATATATCTGCCTGTTAATGAGTTGACTTAAAATATGTGGATCGGAAAGGCTTCAGTAGAACTGAGCAAAGAAAAACAGTAAGGAGAACAAACAAACAAAAACACTTGTAAAGAATCTATCAGTGGCAGACTTGAGGAAAATAAAAAAATAGATGCTAGAACTAGAGAGGGTCTTTTCTGCAGTATGACAACTGAGAGACCTGCTTTAATAGATGACATAGCTTTGGGAGATACTGGATCCTCTTTGCTAGCTCGAGCAATGCTCTAGGGATCTCTTTTCGCTGATATTACCACAAAGGGTTCATCACCAGCCTCTGTGCCACTCCCAAGTGCCCCTGATCTCTCACTAATGGACCAACCTTTTTTTTTTTATTTTAATGTGAAAATATCAATTTTAGGGTAGCTAGAATTGGTTAACACTGTTATTTCTCATTTGTGTTGTCTTTGTTAACTGAATTCTTTGTGTGTGTATATATATTAAGGTTGTTATTATGCTTTTTAATATAATTTTATTACAATTTATTCACTTTGTATCCCAGCTGTAGCCTCACCCTCATACCCTTCCAATCCTGCCCACTCTCATCTCTTCCCATGCCCCTTCCCCAGTCCACTGATAGTGGAGGACTTCCACCCCTTCCATCTGACGCTAGCCTATCAGATCTCATCAGGACTGTCTTCCATAGTCTTCCTCTGTGGCCTGGTCAGGCTGCTCTGCCCTCAGGGGGAGCTGATCAAAGAACCAGTCACTGAGTTCATGTCAGAGACAGACCCTGCTCCCCTTATGAGGGAGCCCATTTAGAGACTGAGCTGCCATGAGCTCTGTGCAGGAGATCCATGTTATCTCCATGAATGGTCCTTGTTTGGAGTATCAGTCTCAGAAAAGACCCCTGGGCCCAGAATTTTTGGTTCTGTTGCTCTCCTTGTGGAGATCCAGACCCTTCTAAGTCTTTCTATGTCCCCCTTCTTTCATAATATTCCCTGAACTCTGCCCAAAATTTGGCAATGAGTCTCAGTATCTGCTTTAATACCCTGCTGGGTAGGCTCTTGTCCTGTTCTCTGTTTTCACCTTCTTCCAATGTCTATCCCATTTGCTTTTTTGAATGCAGATCTTACCCAGCGTCCTCCTTGATTAGCTTCTTTAGGTATACATATTTTAGTATGAGTATCCTATATTATATGTCTAATATCCACTTATAAGTGAGTATATATCATGTGTGTCTTTCTGATCCTGGGATATCTCACTCAGAATTATCTTTTCTAGTTGCCACCATTTGCCTGCAAATTTCATGATTTCCTTGTTTTTAATAGCTGAGTAGTATTCCATTGTGTAAATGTACCACAATTTCTGTATCCATTCCTCAACTGAGAGACATCTGGGTTGTTTTCAGATTCTGGCTATTAAAATAAAGCAGCTACAAACATGGCTGAGCAAATGTCCTTGTTGTGTACTTGAGCATCTTTTGGATATATGTCTGGGAGTGGTATAGCTGGATCTTGATGTGGCCCAAACTTTTTTAACCTACATATTTTGTTTTGTGAACTTTAAAATAAGATATCCTCTGTATCCCTTCTGTCCCAGAATTCTGTAGCCTAGGATGATCTTGAACTCAGAGCAATCCTCTTGGCTCATCTTCCTGAGTGTTGGGACTATAAGCATGAGCCACCATGGTGGGATCTACAAAGACTGTTAAGATGTAGCTCTTGCAGAACAGCAGAGTGTGATGACATGCAAGTAAAAGCAGTGGCTCTTTTACTTTAAAAAATTCAGAAATCATGCTCAGTTCCATAGAAGGAACAGGTAGCTGTGATAATACTATGCAGAACTGACACTGTTCTGTGCATAAATCTTCATTTTTGATAATAAAGGTTCATGTGGATGCCTATAAGAGACTCACACCCTTCTTCCCCTGACAGTTTCAGAATAATTTTTTTCTGAGTTCTTTGGTACAATTTCAGGGGCTTGGGCCATTATACAATCTCCTCTCTTTGAAGGAGGTCTTACTTTTACTGTCCAAGGGCATCTAAGCCTCAAGATTCCTCCTGACTAGCACTTTGAAATAAAGACTCTCTTATGCAGCCCCCTAGCAGTTCTGCTGAATTTCCCTCAGTGTTGCTGCTGACCCCACTGTCATTTGCAGCCAGGCATCACCATTTGCAGGACACTCCATTAAATAAGAAATTTTCAGAAATGATTTTTAAGCAAACCTTTATCTCATACAATGCTCAGGCCATGCTGATGCTCACTTACAGTTGAAAATTTCCAGATTATACACTGACTCTTTTACATTTATTGTCCATAAACGTGAACAAATTACCTAACCTGCCTATCCTCCTCAGGAACTGTATCTCTCCTCTGTAAAAGTCCTCATGTCATTATGAGAATACTAACTCTGTGCAGTAAATAGAATAATATGTTGCCTAGTACAGAGTCAAGTGAAAATAATAGAGGTTCAGAATGCAAAAAGAATAAATGATTCCATCAATTTTCCTTCACAGCCTGACAAGAAGAAGTCGAGAGTAAGATGAAACAAACAGTGACCCCTTTCCCATAAACTTAGAAGCTGATGAACTCAACAGCTTCCAAGGCAGAAGGAATGATCAGGTTTTTTCCCCCATAAACTCTGTGATCTAGGGTACAGAGGACCAATTTCTTATTTTCCCA